TTTCTTTCGATGAGGGCAATATATTTTAATATGGCCAAACTCATGACAACCAAAACACTGAATTCCACCCTTTCTCTTGGCTTTTGAACCACCTACCTTAGATTCACCGCCAAGTTGTTTTCCTTTTTTATTCTCACATCGAGCAATTAACACAGCTTCTTGTGTCACATCCTAGTTTGCCTCCCTTTATTTTTCATGATCCAACAAAGAAGACTACATATTCTCGAACTCTAAAGTGTCTTTCCCATACAACAGAGTCGTCACAACACTTTCGTAAGAATCAGAGACTGAGGTAAGAAATAAAAGGGCCTTATCTTCTTCCTCAATATTCACGCCAACTTTTTGGAGTTGATCCAAAATTCTGTTGAACGTATTCATGTGATCCATGAGACTACCACCCTCCTCCGTCTTTAGTGCATAAAATTGTCGGTTTAGATGCAACTTATTGGGTAAGTTTTTAGCTAGATAAAGCTTTTTCAATTTTTTCTAGAAATCTGCTGCAGAATCTTCCTCATCTATCACATTGTTTATGATGTTGTCTGCCACATAGAGCCGAATCGTGCACGCACACCTTGCGTCCAACTCCTCAAACTCATCATCCTTCATGCTCTCTGGTTTCTTGTTCTTTCCATTCAACACTTTTGCCAAACCTTGTTGAACTAGAACATCCTTCACTCTTCTTTGCCAAAGAGTGAAATTTGTAGTTCCATAAAACTATTGAATTGAAAACTGTATAGTTTCAAACTCCATGGTATACTACGACCCACTCAATTTTAAATAATTAACCAAAACCCTAACGGAGCTCTGATACCACTTGCTAGGGTATCAGGCCAACTATTTGAAAAAGAAAAGACCAACAATTTAATAGAAAACAATATCTAGCATGAAATATGAGCAACGCACAAGAATTAATGTGGTTCGGCTTAATCACCAAGTTTACGTCCACGGAGAGGAAAACTTGTTCTTACTATGAGAGAAAAAACACCACAAGATTACAACTTGATTCCCAAGCCCCAGCCCTCACCCACTAAGAACTCTCTCACTCCTTTCTTGTGTGTCTTTGTAGTATGCCAGTCTACCTATTTATAGAGAACATTACTTGGCTAACAACCAAATAACAATTGGAATCCAATACTAATTCCTAGACTTGTAACAACCAAATAACAATTCGAATGTAAGACCCGTGAACCTTTGAACCTGAAAAAACCCACATCGACAGCATGGAAGAGATGCTTGAAACATTGTAATCTAGCACTCCAAACATCCCAGTGAAACAAGACCAAACCTCTGTTGCAACTGGACTGGACCATAAAGAAACAAATGCTGAATGGATTCCATAGCACTATAGCAGCAAATACAACGAGAAGCAATTGAAAGACCCTTACGCTGCAAAATTGAATCCAACGGCACCCAATCACGTAACAATCTCTAGACAAAAAATGAAACCTTAAGAGGAACTATCGAATCCCAAATAAAACTATCGATCCAAGAAATATTATGCTTTTGTCGAATCTCTTCCTAGGCCGAAACCACAGTAAACTGACCAGATGAAGAGGACAACCATACCATAAGATCATCTTGTTCGTAGAAAAAAAGGCACTTTCAAAATAAGATCAACCACATTCGATGGCAACCATTGTCGAAGGTGCTCAACATTCCAACCTTGCTCAGTGTAAAATTCACCAACTAACAGATTGGGGGGGTTTAATGACTGCCACTTGAACAGTCAATGGTGCCTTTCCACACCACAAATCATGCCAAAAGTCCACCATTCCTTGCCCCAAACTCCATCGAATTTGACTTTCAGCAAAATCATGTAGAGCCAGTAAATGATGCCAAGATGCCGAAGGCCAATCTATCTCTACCAACGAAGGATGAACTCCTTTAATATATTTTTGATGCATAAACTCAGACCAAATAGAATCATTCCTCCTTAGGCGCCACCACAATTTACAAGCAAAGGCCTTAGACATATTCCTGAAGGACCGTGCACCCAACCCGCTTTCTTTAACCTGGAAGCATAGATGTTCCCAGGACGCCCAATGAATCCTCTTAGCTTCTAAGTTTCGATCCCAAAGGAAAGAATGCAAATTCTTCCAAGAGCCACCAACACAAAATTTGGTGGAGAAAGCACTTATAACAAATACATAGGGATAGAACTCAATACATGACGTAACAAAATAATTTTTCCTCCCATGCTTATCAACTTAAACTCCAATGAAAAAGTTGTTGTCAAAACTTAGAAATAATACCATCAAACACAACAGAACTCAACTTCCCTCTAACTAAAGGAACCCCTAGTTATTTGACCGGGAATTCCTACTGCTGAAAAATATTTATTTAGTAGTTAGTTTATCATTAGACTGCAATTATCTACTAAACCCATCTGATTTATGGCCTACATTTTGTGTTTGTTGTGTTTGATTGAATTTTTTTTTATTAAATTCAAACAGTGATACCCATGGGAAAAATGTGAAACTGAACTTGATGCCCAATATGAGGGGAGAGAATTGGGGATTTTTGATCATGTGGAGGTTACTGGTATTAGTCTATTTGAGATGGATAGAACACTGGAAAGTCAGGTTAGAGATTTTGGTGAGAAAAAGTAGTATATTTTGATAAAGGAATATGAATTTCGATTGTTAAAGCATGATAGAGTATTACATGCATATTGTGCTGATTATTTTGACTATGGTAGAGTGGTTGATTTGTACATAAAAGTTTCTTTTAGTGAATTGATAGAAGCACAATGGGGGTCTGACATTGATGATGAGGACTTTGTGTTAGGGGATGGAGAGGATGAATCAGATGAAGAATATCATCTTGGCTCAGGGTCTGATTCTGGTGGGTTCGTAGAAAAAGATTCAGATTATGATTAGAATTCTGATGATAATGACTATGAAGAAAATGTTGATGAGCATTTAGAATTGTTGGGGATAGAACAAAGTAAGCAATAGCAGTTGAATAGGGAGGTAAAAAGAAATCAGTAGTGGAAAGTAGGAGACCCATGCTTGCTGATTCTGGGAGTAGTGATGACAATTCTGATATAGATGCAGCACCTGATTCAGATACTGATCTTGATAGTCTTCATGGGTCAGATAAAGAGAAGTGCTCTCAAACCACTATGTTTGATCCTAAGAATGAGAATGACCCCAAACTTGAACTGAAGGAGGTTTTTGCCATTTTCAAGGAGTTTAGAGAGGTCTATTAGAACCTGGAATATTAAGAGAGGGAGAGCATTTAAATTTAAAAAAAGTGGCACCATATGAGTTAGAACTATTTGTCCTAAACGGGGGTGTGACTAGCCCATATATGCTAGGAGAATGAAAGGGGATAGCAGGCCAGAGGTTAGAACATTTCAGAGCAAGCACAATTGTGGGTTCTCATACTACAACAAGAGTGTGAAATTTGGTCGGATAGGAAGAAGGTATGTTAACACAGTTAGGGAGAACCCGAGGTTGGATTATCTTAGTTTTAAGCAACAGGTAATGAAGGATCAGGGGCGGAGCCAGAAAAAATTTTCAGTGGGGGCAAAAACAACTCTAAAATTTTTTACCTAATCTTTTTTTAGTTTTTTAAGGAAAAAATATTCACCAACAAGTACAAATGATACATATATTTCATGAAAAATATCAAAAAATAAACTCAAAATTATTAATGTAATAATAATTTTATTTCAAAAGCAAACTAAATCATTTACAATTGCTCATGATGAGTTTTCATATTTTAATAACGGTTTACAACCTTTTTATTTTGAACTTCACGAAGTATATTTTTCTTAATATAAGTAACTAAACAATTATTCATCCAAGTGTCTTCCATTTTATTTTGTAACCGATTCTTCACTATATTCATTATTGAAAAAACCCTATCTACAGTAGCTGTAACAACAGGTAAAATCAAAGACAACATTAAAAACATATAAATCAATAGATACACAACTCCAAGGAGCATACTTGAAATTACATCAAATTTTTATAGATATCATAAAAATTTAAGGGGGGCAGTGGAGGCCTATAAACCAATAGATATACAAAACTCTAGAGAGCACAGTTGAAATTACATCAAATTTTATAGGTATCCGCCACTGTGAAGGATAATAAGTGTTATTTGAGTAGACATCAAGGTTATAGAGCTAAAAAAATTGCCAAGGAGTTGGCCTAAGGTAGTGAAAAGGACCATTACAAAAACTGCCTGAGTATATCAATAAAATTAGGAGAAGTAATCTAGGCAGTACTGTAGTAATGAAAGTGGTTAAGGAAGATGAAAATTTCACAGATTATACATGTGTTTTGCTGGGGTGAAACAGGGGTTCTTGACAGCTTGTAGGCCTCTATTTGGACTGGATGGGAGTTTTCTCAAAGGTGCAGCTGGTGGTGTGTTTTTTACAGCAGTTGGGATTGATCCAAATAATGGGCTCTATCCAACTGCTTTTGCTGCAACTGAGGGAGAAACCAAGGATTTCTGGATTTGGTTCCTCACATTGCTGAGAGAAGATTTGAAAATTGAAAAAGACTATGAGTGGACCATAATGAGTGATAAACAAAAGGGGATAATCCAGGCATGTGAAGTAGTTTTTCCAAATGCTGACCACAGACTTCGTGTTAATCATTTGCATAGCAATATGTCAGCTGGTGGATTCAAAGGAACAATAATGAGAAAGGCCTTGTGGAAAGTAGCAAAGGCGACTACTCCTACACAATTCCAAAGAAGAATGGACGCAATTGTAGAACTTGATCTCGATGCTGCTAAGTGGTTAGAAGACAAGGCACCTGCTGAATGGAGTAGATCGTACTTTAGAACCCATCCAAAGTGTGATATGTTGCTGTATAACATATGCGAGTCATTCAATAGTAAGATTATAGAAGCTAGAGAAGAGCCAATTGTCCAAATGATGGAGTCAATAAGGCATTTTTATCATGTCCAGAATGTAGGAAAATAGAGATAGGGCCAGGGATAGGTAAATTAAATATGGCATCTGTTTAAAAATCAGGAAAAGAATGAAGGGCAATATTGACAAGCCAACTTATTGTGTTCCCTACAAGTCAAATGAAGCAAACTATGAAGTTGCTTGTCCTTATAGTGAAAAATATGCAGTCAATATTGAACATAGAACATGCAGCTGCAGAAAATGGGACCTGACAGAAGTTCCCTGCTATCATGCAATATCAGCATTATGGATTGCAATGAAGGACCCTATGGAGTATGTTGATGATTGTTATAGTGTGAAGAGTTACCTTAAATGCTATAACCACTGCATACTACCTATTAGTGAAGAGCAAGATTGGGAAGATGCTAATGTCCACCCACCATTCCCACCAATATATGGCAGAGCACCAGGCAGGCCCAAGAAGCAAAGAAGAAAATCTGCTGATAAGTTACAACAAGCCACAGAGAAGAGAACTAAGACTAGCAGATTGAGACAAATATGTAAATGCACCTATTGTAGGGAGAGGGGCCATAACGCCAGAACTTGCAAGCTTAGAAAAGAGGCTGGTGGTACAACCAGTCAAGATACAGCCACTAAAGGGAGTCAAGATGCAGGTTTGGAGTCAGAAGTTCAACTTGATGCTAAATTAAGTAACATTTCTGTGAGTAATGGTCAAAACTAAATGTTTCTCCCTCTTATATTTGATTGTAATGTATTTGACCAATTTGTGGTACATTTCAGGTTGGATGCATCAGTCCACATGCAAAGAAGACAACTAGAAAGTTTGGCAAAAGACCAGCTGTAGTGTTCAACATTAATTGTTATTTCATGTTCTTTATAGCTTAACTAATGTACATGACCAACGCTAATGGTTTGTGTGTCTTGTAGGGAAATGAAAGTAAAAGGAGTGGAAAGACATCTGTCCAGAACTCATTACAAAACAGTCAAGAAGTTGATGAGGAGAACATGGTATGTTCTACCCCTGTTGCTGAACCAAACCTGTATGAAGTGTTTGGAATTCCAGATCCTCGTGTAACACATAGTAGCCAACCATTTAGAATCAGAGAATTTCGAATCCATCTTGGACTCCCACCAACCTCTTGGCTAAATCCTAGTGGGCAACAAGGCACAAGACCTGATGACAAGGGAAAAGCAAAAGCCAACTGAATGGTTGTATTTGATTGTATTTGAACTGATTGGTTGTGCATTACTTAGCTTTTGTATTAAGCTATGTTGAGACTAATGCAGCTTGGACTGCAGCATGAGTTAGTATTTTTTTATTTTGTGGTCAATTATGGGCAATGATGCCTTTTTGCTGATTGTAATTGTCCAGCTTGCAAATGAATGCAAAGTTAACGTATCTTCAGCTGTTCGAATTGATTCCCAGATTTTGGCTAGAGTTATTTCAAATGCTTGTGGCTTTATGGTTTGAGTGATGAATTTTGAGCAGGGTTGTACCTTCCTCTGACTGACAGAGAGCATTACAAGTGAAAAAAAGTCTACATCTAAAGTTTGCAATTCTGGGAAACAAATGATTCTGATAGCCAAAAAAAAAAAACTACCCCAATCTCCATATTACCTAATTAATTTGCAATCCAAACAAGATTACACCACCTCATAGCGCAGCCATAAACCTGGATTCTGCAGGTTCACTGATCCGTACAACACTCACAAACAAATACAAAACAAGAACTTAACTGATTATTGATTTCTAGGTCTAAAATTACAATCTTCCAAAGACATCCCAGTCAGCAACCTTACATTACTTTTACATGTCCACAATCAGGCGTGGCATCAGAAATATATCGCAGCAACAGAATCGTAGTTCTCAATGTATATTATCACCTGTGCCATTAAACATTCAAGCGCATACAAGACAAACAAGTGCTTAATATCGGTACTTGGTAGAGTAATCTTTGGGTGCAATTACAAGACCACGACCTTTTCTTGCACCACGGTACACGGTCTCAACAATGTCGATGAACTCCTGTTTGTCCTTCATTGCCCAGTTGATCTTGTTGTTGTTTCCAGTACCAAGATCAATCATGATGTGCTTGTTCCTAAAGAAAAACATAATTGTGGATGGGTCGTACAGCTCATACATCGTATTGAAATCAGGCACCTCAGTTATATCAACCAAGTACATCACAGCAAAGTTCTTTATTGTCTCAGCAACTGATGCTAACACTTCATCCATCTGCAAATAAAACAAAAAAAAAGATAGCTGGTCAGAAAAACAGAAACCACTAGAAAGTGCTAACTCTACCAAGAAAAATCACATACTTACAGAAAATTTTAAGTAATAGAACAATGAATAGAGCAACCAAAAAGTCAAAACACCACCAAAACAAACTAAACGAGGCATTTACTGAAGTAGAATATACGCACGATGTGCATGCAGCTAAGTGACATTTTATAAGATCCCAAAGGTGAAAGAAGATCTGGGGCAGGTGAACATATTGAGCCATATTAAAGTCAGCTGTGCTGTTTGATGCAGTGCTGAAAAGCTTACATCACCTTCCTTGACTTCTGGAGAAACCACCTCTGGCATTTGGCAAAGCTAAAATCTACCCGAAGAAAAACATAATAGTGTTAAATTTCTAAAAATAATGACTAAAACATTCAATGTAACTTTAACTCTTGACAATCTCGTATTTAAGTTGCTTTTAAGAATTAAGAAGATAAAAAAGATAAATTCCCCATTCTATCATCAGAAGAAAGGACAATTAGAAAGAAACAGAAAGCACTTACACATTCCTTATTGCTAACCAAGCAACCATCAACCATCACCCAGTCCCAACCAAGCAACCAACCCGGAGTGTTCCCCTCCCAGGTCTCAAACCACCAACGAAACTGCTCTTACTCCTACACTAAACTACCAAACCAATCTCCTCCTCCATCTTCTCTTGCTTATCCTGCTTCCCTATCTTTTCCAGCCATACTTAACCCCAATATTATAGGCACCACATCAAAACCTCACCTCCCTGTGACTTTTTCTCACCACCCTCACTACGCTTCTATCCCCTGCAGCCACTACCTCCTTTTCCCACCCTCTTAACAAACTGAAACAAACCTTTCCCCATTAACCCTTTCAAACCTAACCACCAAAACACGCAGAGACCGTCACTCTCTAGTTGAAGTAGTTGGCAAAGATCGCATGAATGCATGTACTACTAATTGAATTTGTGGTCATGGCTCTTATGTATGTACTTTCAAGGAAATTTGCACTTTCACACACACCAAAATTTAATTTGCAAGATGATGGCAGCTTTTACATGTTGCACTTTCACACACACCAGAATCTAATTTGCAAGATGATGGCGTCTTTTACTGTTTAAGACATGCTTTACATCATGATTGAGCATCTCCAGAATTAAAATGTGAAGATCTCTTTTATTTGACCCACATGTTAAAGTGTGTGATATAATGTTTCATCTGTCAATATACATCTGTTCTGGTGGAGGGAGGTCCTATGCATGTTTTCTCATGCGGCAGCCACCGCGTGCTCTGCTTTTGATTGCATTCGTGCTTATCCTTTAAGTGAATTTGTGTAGGTGATTGAGTAAAAAGATCCTGGTGCTAGCAGAGGGAGCCAACCAAAGATTAATGGGTGGAGAGGGAAAAGATGACAAAGATTGACTAGTTCAGTTTACAGAAGCTAATCATAATTAGTAAGGGTATTCTACGAACTCATTTAATCATTTTATCGACAACTTAATTGCGTAATTCTACATATGCCAGAATTCAAAAGCTTCAATGGTCAGTCAGCCAAAACACAGCTCACCCATCAGTTACTTAAAAGTTGATCTCCACCTCAATCAACATGAATGGAATGGACATAAGTACCCACCCAGAAATTCTTTCTCCCAATTGCAGACAAAAAAACCAAGGATTTTATACAAGCAACTAAAATAAAATAACAAGGATCTAATGCCCTGTTCCTTGTGCTACAATACTTCTGACCTAAGAACATGGAGAAAGTAAAAGTGGCCAATCACCAAACTTCAAGGGCTCACTTGGATATCAATTTTAATACAACTACCCTCACATATGATGATAAAAGGAAATGTCCCTTTCAATCTTCTCCATTCAATTCTTTAGATAATATTCTTCCTATCCCTTCCCAATCAAGCCGAGCTCTCCCTACCCGCATCTCCCCCCTTCTGTACGTGTGTATTGTTCCCCTAACCAAGCAATGTCAGCAAGTTTCAACAAAAAACCAAAATATGTACTAATTTTCAGAAATTGTCTGACATGAACTACGTATCAATGAATGTCTGACCCAAGCTACTTATCAATGAACTTGATTGACACTAGTGCATTTCTGTCACATAAATAGAAGATGCAATGATTCAAGCTAAATAATTGTAAAACTGACACTACTTATAACTCAAGTGGAAATGGTGTATTTCTATAGCCTGCTTCAACCATCCTCAGCTTTAATTTAAAATGATAATCAGACAGTGCCATAAGACGGCATTAGTGTAATCAGACTGAATTTTAATAAAAATCATTTTCAGCAACCATTTACAAATTATAAAACAGTGAAAAGATTCCCTAGTCCATATTTTAATAAACTAGAGGTTTCGCTCAAGTGAGTGAATCATACTCTGCTAACAGACAGGCTTTAAGACAAGTCAATAATAACAAATTTGTTTAAAATTAACATAAACAATGTAGATGACAGTATGCATAAAGAGAGAAATAATAAAATGACATTTGGAAGGATGCTATACCTGCATACAGGTTTCATCCCAGTCATGCCCGAACCTGATAATAACAAGTCGTTCCTCTTCTGCGAGGATAGCCTGGTCAACAGCCCAGCCAGAATGAAGGTGAGGCAGCAAGTATGACATCTCTCCTGCTCTCTCTTTACCTCGTTACCTATCAAAAAAGAATGTAGCAAACAACGTGTAAGCTGCAAAGAATTCTCTATGACGCTTATTAAATTCTTATACAAATATTTAAAGCACTGTTGGTCAAAGCAGAACAAGAGGTGAAGAATACAGAAATTAGTGGAATTCAAGAAAGAGGAAGCAATACAAGATCATAATCTTTTCAACAAAACTGCATTTTTGACTAACCAAATCTCTGTAATACCCACCACTTAAAAGGCAATATTCTATATTGATTAGGATTGGAATTCGTACTTGAAACAGAGCCCTAAATAAATTTGATCAGTCCACCAAATGACAACTAAGCCCCAGATATCATAAACTGATACAATTAGTCTTCTAACTTGGAAGGGAGAAAAAAAAAATTAACACACAACTTTTCTGCAAAAGTTTCCGCAACATAGATGGACTCCCAACAAAAGCTAGAAAAGAATGAAAATCTGCCGTCCAACAAAATTTGATTAAAAAAAGGGCCAAATTTTTACTTCTTGTGACAAATAAACCCTAAAAGCTCTGTGAATCTTAGACTGTAAAACAAAACTTACACAGAACATCTAGCAAATTCGTGTACATCAAAACCCATTAAACAGAAGAACCCTGAAACTATAGGTGCAGGTGGACCCTAGTGATTACTAGAATTCTAATTACATCAACCCAGATAATAATTCAATTTTGGGGAAAAAACCCAAGAAACAAGAAGAAATCGAGAAACAATGAAAACCAAACGTAAGTAGAGAAAACCCAGATTCTTTTTTTTTCAGAAAAAAAAAACCTTGGCTCTTGACAATTTCGGTAGAATTTCGATGAAGAAACAGATAAACAGATTAATTCAACTATCATACCGCAAAATTTTCCAGAGAAATTGGTGCCTCGAGCGTGCGAGAAGCTTTCTGCTGTTACCTGCTCTGCTAATTCAGCAATTAACAAAGAATCGAATCGATTGGAGCTTGGAGAGTGCGTGGAGGTTCTAGCTTTCTGGGCAAAACCCAGTTATGTTTTCCTTTCCTTTTTACAGCCTCGGCTCCAATCGCGAAGCTACTAGAATTTGGTCCTTGGCATGTTAATTTGGGTAGGGATAATTTGAGAAACCTCTCTTGAGGTTTCTATAATTTCACTCGGCTCACTTTAGATTTAAGAAATTACATTGACCTCCCTTAATATAGTAAAATACCTACAATGCCCTCCATTTAGTAGACAATTTGGGGGTATAAAATTGGTTGTCACCAGGGTTTTGTTTGCTTTTTTTTTTTTTTTATCGTGACAAGTATTGATACTGTATAAGTAATTTGGAATCTTTTATATGGTTATTTAATTTTAGAACTTATACTTGAATGATTGTTAAGAATTTGACTTGTTGATTTATACAAAGTGTGGAAGATAATGATTGAGTATATTATATTTTTCTTTCTTAGTTTTGTATAAAAGGGCAATTTAAGATTTTTGAAAGAAAATCTAAATTCTTGAACCTACATTACTACTAAATAGTGAAAAAAAAGAAGGTATATATAATTTTTAAAACTTGAAGGGAATTCTTTGTAATTGTGAAAAAACTCAGGGCCCGTTTGGAAGGTGAGTTTTTTGGATATTTGTCTAAAATTTTACTGTAAATTACTGTAAAAGTTGTAAGAAAAATTTTTAGGTTGAAAAACTTTTTTCTTTCTTTTCCTTTTTCTTTTTCTTTTTCTTTCTTTCTTTTTGTTTTCTTTCCTCTCTTCTTCTTCTCCCTTCCCCCTCCCCTGGCACCTCTGTCCTCTCCTTCCTCTCCCTCTCTACCCCTCTGCCCCCTATTTTTCTCTCCCTCTCTTCTCCTTCTCCCTCTTCTTCTCTCCTTCTCCTCCCCTTCCTTGGCGCCCTCCGAGTGCCGAGAACTTGCAGGCTGCAGCCATGAACTTTTTTTTTCTTTTTCTCTCCCCACTCTCCTTCCCCTTTCTCGCCACCCTCCCCCTCCCCCAACCAGCAACCTTGGTCACCCAGCAGCCATAGGAAAACTTTTTCCTTTCTTTTCCCCTCTTCTCCCTCTCCCTCTCCTCTCCCCTCCCCCTCGCCCTCTAACGCCAGAGTTGTTGCAACTATGGAATTTTTTTTTTTTAGCTTTTTTTTCCCCCTCTCCTCCCCTCCCCTAGCTACGATCTAGTCGCGCGACCAGATCGCAGCCCCCCTCCTCCTTTGCAATCTGGTTGCATAGCTTGCGGGAAGGGGAAGGTGGCGAGAGAGGCAGAGGGGAATAGCGGAGGAGGGAGGGAGAAAGAACAAAAAAAAAGAAAAAAGAGGGAAGCACCAATAGATCGGTCAAAGGGGGAGGGGAGAGGAGGAGAGGGGGTGAGGGAGAGGGAGAGAAAAAAAAAAAAAAAAAAAAAGAGGAGTGCCGGCGCTGGCGGCCGAAATACCGGCGCCGGAAGCGGTGGTGGAGGTGGTGGCCAGTGACGAAAGACGTGGGGGGTTGGGTGGGGGAGGAAAAAGAAGAAAAGTTGATGAGAAAGTTTTTTATGTATTATTTTGAAGTGTGTAGGTTAAAAACTTTGATAAGTTTTTTAGAATTCTTGTAGCAAAAGTTGTTAAAAAACTAGTATTATAGAAATTTGCTAAAAAACCAATGTGCCAAACAAGGCCTCAGAAGAGGTTTGTGAAATTATCCCATTTGGGTATCCTGCTATTTAGTATTTGCCCCTCTTGAAGTTGTGATGATTAGTGTTTTGCCCCTAAAATTTATGCCAAGGTGCTTCATACCCTCAAATTATTGCAATGTAGTTTACCAAACTAAACATTTGGATAAGGACAGTACTTTTTTTTTCCGAGTAGGAGATGGATGAGATTTAAAAAGTGAGAAGGAAAAGGAAGAATTTCAATCTAGGATAAAAATCTAAATCATGAATGCCTCACCTTTAGTTTTCGAGCAGGAGATGGATGGGATTTAAGAATTGAGAAAGAAATGGAAGAATTTGAATATAAGATAAGACTGTAAATCACGAGCACCTCAACTTTAGTCACTAAATCAAAGTTTCTTCCATAAATACTGGATAGTATTTTTTTTTAATCGGCAAACCCCTTGCATGGGGAGGGGATGCTAGTCCCAAATTTTATTAATCTCAAAAAACATTCAAGTACATAAGGAGGGGAGAGGGAGAGAGGGCAAAAAACTATCCTCCGTTATGTGAAAGACTAGCTAGCCATCATCTCTAACGAGTCTTAACATAGGGGAATTTGGCTTTGTTTGGATATCAATATTTTTCAAATAATATTTCGCTTGTATCATAAACATATTTTTCAACTCATTTTTTTATATTTTTAATCACCTTTTTATCTCATATATATCACATCATAAAAAGTGTTACAATAATTATTCTAAATAATATTTCAAATAATACTCTATCCAAACAAATCTACTATCCTGATGAATGACAGTTTTACGAAGTGAAGCAATTGACTCCGTGAAAAAAATTTGCTATCCATGAAATTCCAAGGCTGCCAAAGAGTCAGCAGCCATGTTGGCTTCTCTAAAAACTTGAATTAGAGAACTTTGCATCCTAGATGTTAAACTTGGGATCTTCATCCAGAAGGCTCTGTTTGGATTCTCCATTTTTAAAAAAAATAAGTTTTTCATATACAATACTACAGTAATATGTAAATAAAAATAGTTCCAAAAACACCACACTCATACAATATATCAAAAGGAGTTCCAAATATACAAAAAAATTTAAAAGTATACAAAAAAATCTACATCATCTTTTTCTTTCATCTATCACTACCACCAACCACCGCCACTATCCCCTTCTTTCTCCTCTTTCCTCTCCCTCCCTCTTCCTCCTTGATAGGGCGTAAATTGTAATATATTTATAGGCATAAGTTGCTAGTTAGATATGTTATTTGAGCTTAATCTTGGATAAAAATTACTTAATTTTGCTCTTATATTTTTCTAATAGGAGAAAAGCTCAATTGAAGAGAAAACGGATTAATAATGTGGCGTGAAGTGTCAATGGAAGAGGAAAAAGTCAAGAGAAAGCGATTTTGCAGGATCGACATGTTTCAGTATTTTGGTGATAACCTGAGCTACATAAGTTGGATTGACATTATTATTGATTTAATTCGAAGCTAAGAGAATGCTCTACAGTTTCTATGCAGACACCAAAATTCGGTTCTCACGTTTTTATAGTCAAAAATCCAAATTCCTGAAGTATAGTTGCGTTACAATGCTCTTACGACCAGGTCTCAGTATTTTAGCCACATCTTAGTATCCGGACTCCAAATAACTTGATTCTTGCAGCATTGGAAAGCTTTCTCAAAGAGCTACAATTTTATGTTTTGAGTAAGAACAGATTTGACCTATTTTATGGAGTTTTTGAGGCCCAATGTCTGGCGCCGGAATTCAAGCCGTTCATTGCCAGATTCTTTTATGTTTCTTGCTTGGCCCAATGACGGACGCCGGACTTGCTTAGTTTGGCATGAAGTGTAAGTGCCCGGTGCAACCCAATGAGTACAAACAATTTCACAATGAGACACAAAGATATATCAAATTTAAGCACAATAAAGAAAACTTAATTAAAGAGAAAAGATAAGAAATGCAAACCAAATATCAATCCAATAGCCTCTTCAATTGATGGCGATGCTAACCAAGATATACAAGTGAAGGCTCACTCCTTCCTCACCCCAAACACACTTTGGTTGAGCCAAGGAGTTTTACAACTATTCTAATTAACCCTCAACAACCTACACTTGAAAAATCACTCACCCAATTAAGAACTATTTTATACAAATGAGGCAACTTTCACCAAGGTTTTACCACTCCAAGTGATAG